AGGAGGAGGAGGAGGAGGCCAGACCCCGAAGGAGCAGCGCGGAGCTTGCTTTCCGTCGGAAACCCCACCCGCTGGCTGCGTTGGCCTGTCGGTGCGGAGCCGTCCGGCGGGTGTGGCCCTTGCTGCCCCCTCGAGGATCCCTCCCCCGGGCTTCGCCTGGCAGGTCGGGCTCGCGTCGGAAGTGGGCGGCGCCGGGGCCCATTTGGGGAGAGGGCTTCGGGCGTATTCAGGGGCAAAATGGGTGCCTGTGGCTTCTGCGGGGCGTATGGCAGCTCTGCTCCTAAACCTGCCTAAAATCATCGTCATCGTTTGTTAAAGTGATAAATGCAAACATCGCCCCGCATTTTTTAAATCTTGCTCCCCGCGGAAGCCATAAAAATGGTGCTGGTGGGCCGCATCGTATGTTCTAGTTAGTTGAGTTTACCCATCTTTGTGCAAACAGCCACTGTCGCCTCTCAGACACGATTTGCTGCTTTGTGCAGTGTGAACCAATGACTCACGCTCACGTGAACTAGGCCTTTGATTCTGTCTTAGTTAAATGGTTTGCTTAACCCTCTCTTCAGCCTTCTCAACAGCCATCCAGGTGTGTCAGACTACAAGTGTAATTGACACATCTGATGTGCATCAGTTTTGGGAAGGCTGTTAGCAAGTGGTTGACTACTAGGGCAATCATCTCCATAGTGGTTGCCCTTTTTAGGAGTTATGCTTTGCACAAAGGTGCATTTTGTTATTTTAGTGCTGAATATATAAAAATCCATATCTTACATGCTCTTTTAATAATACAAATTAAAAACCTGGCTTCTTAGATTTATAGGGTTTATGATCATACGTAGGTTACTCTTTTGTTAAGTTTGTTTTTATGTAAACTTATTGTAAGAGGCGTATGGAAATTTCTAGGGGGGAAAATGAAAATATTAGATAAAGGATGCTATTTCAAAAATGCTATTTTTATCCCAGAGTCATTTAACTCCAGCTCTACAGTTGAGATCCTGAGAATAAATTAGAAGCTAGAATTTGATTACCTTTTGATTTTTCTAGGCCACTGTAAATTGAAATCTGTGTTAAAAAATCAAGATGATAAATGCAGAATTCCAAACTCTACATTTCCTGTTTGGCAACTTAGTTGTACCAGTGGGCACAATTGAATTCCATGTAGAATTACAATTAGGGAGTTTTGTTCTTTAATCTACCTGTTTGTTACCTAATAAGATAAGAAAAGAAGGTTTCTTTTCTCCATTCTGATCTGAAATTGGAGAAGAATGAAACCTGGATGGCTAGTGCTAATTGGAGTTTAATCTTTTAGAATAAAACCAGATAAACTGACACAATAGATTTACTATCCGAAGCCATATTTAAAAGTTGGACAAACAGGAAAAGAGAGCAAGAGTAATACAGAATAGTTCAGTGACGTTGCTTTACTTAAAAATATCGGCTGGCTGTGCTGGTTGAGATTTAGGAGTTGTAATTCCAGTATACTTGGAGGATATCGGATTAGGAAATACTGACTTAAGAAATGTCTGATTCTGCTGTATTTATTTTAGCAAGTCAAAACAGTAATTGAGCTGATCTGACTTGCAGTCCTTGAAGCTGTTTACATTACTATTATTTCTCAAACATACTTACTATATAGAAACAAATCTAAGAGTAACAATGTATTTATGATGTACACGGTGCTCTCATTTAACTTATCTTGTGTCAGTTATGCTTAGGTTATAACATTTCGAAGAGAACACTGTAAATAGGTAATATTCCTTTAACATGATTGCTCTTAGAGAGTCTGTTGCTTATGTCACAAAGGCCTTTTTAGTGCCACTGCTGTGAATATTCTTGAATTTGATGGTGCGCTAATCTGACTTCTTGAGGATACACTAACAAAAAAAATTAGTATAATAGGATTGTTGAGGTTTGTGAAAGGTAGCAAAAAGGCGCAGAATATTATTGGGATGAGTTTGTTCTGGAGAGGTTGTTCTTGCATTCAGACAAATATCTTCCCTGCGTATTCAGATGCATCACTGTAAACGTTACCACTCGCCTGAACCTGAGCCCTACATGAGCCATAGATGGAAGAGGCGGCGGTCTCGTAGCCGAGAGCACCATGAAGGAAGGCCGCGGTATCCAACTCGCCGGGATCTTTCTAGGAGATCACGTTCTAGAAGGTGAGCTGCTTGAAACAAGTGTTTGACTGATTGATACTTGATAATAGTCTGAAAGGAGAAATTACAAATATGTTTGCTTAGAGATACCTTATCTCCTCTGTAAGTATCTCTCAAGGATAATAGAAGATAAGTCTGCCAACGCACATAGTTTGTGCTACATAAAAAAAAGCCTTTTAGGTTTATATGCAGTTGAGGAATTTTGCTCTCATATTTTGTGAGATTGGTGGAGACTTGGTGAATTGTTTCACCACTGGTGGCAACATAATGTTTGACCAAATGTACTTCTGGTTCGTTCCAACAAAATTGCTACTGAGTTCTTAATTGCTTTCTTAGGTCAGCCCATAGCTTATTGAGTCTAGAATGCTCCAAAGTAGGACACTGTAGTTAGTCTGTCATTGGATCTGATTGTTTTAGATTGCTGGCTTCTGAATATGAATTCTGATAAAGGTTCTTACCTGCGTTCTCTATTTTTGTATCAAAACTGCAAGGCATATAATGAAACACTAGTAATCTCAGTTCTTGGTTGTGCAGATAAACTACAAATTATTTTAGGAAGAACGAGGAAGCTTTCTGGATAAAATGGATTGGGAAAGCCTAGGTATAATATTTAGAACCAATATATAGTGAATATCCACTGCTGTATAGTATATACTAGAAAGCTTGTGGCATTTCTAAGCGAATCTTTCTGCCCTCTTAATGGAAATAGATCAGTGGGCAAATAGGGAGGTCAGACCACTACCATCCCCACTCTTAACCTCTCCAAACCATCTGTAGTTTGGCCCATGGGATTGGGATTAAAAAGTGGAATGAGATACTTCTGGGGAGCAATCTGCTATACTTCTCCTTCTTACAGCTGGCTGCTCCCCCCCCCCCCAGTGGCTCAGATTTTGGCAGCACAGTTTCAAGGTGCTGGGAGGCTGACCCCAACAACTGCCTCAACACAGAAGTATATCATGATTGAGAATCAAAGCACCACATGCCCTTGCGTGTTACTCTGGAACTGAGGAGTCAGGCACCATTGTGCTCAGCTTTAAACGCTGCCAGGGGTTGCCCTGGCATAGGATGTCATTGGGCTTCTCCAGAGCCAAGAGTGGGCTAGAACAGATGAAATCAAAGAAGGGAGCACAAAGGTCAGCAGGGGCCTACAATTATAGCTGGCCAGGCTGAGGACTGCTTTAGCAGTGTGCATTGAATTACCAGTTTCACTTGCATGTGTTGCTTGGACTCCTGAACTAACAGAAATTGGCAAATAAACCTTTGGATATCTCTTGAATGAGGGGCTGCTTAGTTGTGAACAACACAGATAATATGCAAACTGTTTTGTATCAAAAAGGTACAAATTGCATTTGTGATAGACTAAAATAAAAGCCTATGCATGAGACATTTTGATGGAAAGTTTTATTTTGGCTCAGAACCCATTCATTCAGAATCATTTTGTTTTGCCTTCATAGGATAGCAAGGACTAAGAATTGAAAAATGCTTGGTACTGTGAAAGATGTTATATGACAATAAAGCAAAGAGGCTCTATGTTGTTTTGTGCACATGTCTTTTTTTGAACCAGAAACTTATTTTCATGAGTAAAAATACAGTAGTGGGCACATTAAGCAGTGGATTTCTGTACATAGAAACTTTTGAAAAAAGGAGAGCCCACGTGATTCAGGAGGCTGAAATGTTAGCTTCAGACTCAGTCCAAATAGGGCATGGGTTTGTACATATATGCCATTAAGGTCTGCTCTTCTCTAAATCCTAGTCAATTGTCCTGTGTGCTACATCCTATCATCTATGTAAAGCAGCTAAATAGGCAGAAAGTTATATTGAGGCCTACTACTTTTCTGTTATATAGTTGCTTCGTAAATCAACCCGCCTGCCCACTCAGCCTGGCCGTCTCTCCTCTGACCTGCTATTGGCAAGTATTAACAGTTAAACTCTCCACTTGATTATGGCTTCAAGGTGTCTTCCTGCAGAAACAATAACGTGAGAAGTATTTGCCAGAGCAGAACGTTCTAGAGATAAGCTGCCACAGCTGAAAAGATCCTGTTGCTAGTTAACTCCCTTCTGACCTCAGAAGATTATAGATTACTGAAAGGCATGATTTTATTGCATAAAGAAATATAGGCAGGTGAAATGGGGCCACAGAAGAATAATGTAGGAAGGTTTGTTATTACTGTAATCCCAATGAAGCATATCTCCCTGGAGCTGTTGCACTCCATTCCTTTGTTTTTGCTAAGGATATTTTTTTTTAATAGAACTGCAACTTCAGAATAAAAATGATGCATTTAAGATTCCAGCTTTGTTACCAAAATGTGCTGCATTCAATGATGTCATGAGACCTAAGCATTAAGTAATTGGTGGGTGCATCTGCTGAGCAGGCAGTAAGATTTGTGTGTTAGAGTTATTTTGGGCAGCTGATCTTAAGTGCATTGGCAGTAAGTAACATCCTATGTCAAGGGTTGCCATTTTTTTCCTTTTCTAGTTGTAATCAGACTTTTGTTTGCAATTCAGCCAGGACAGATTGCCTTACCAGAGAGGGTACCGAGACAGGACAGACAGTGAAGTCCACAAGTTTGAAGAGCGAAGCCCATCTTTTGTAGAGGACTATTACTCTACCCGCCGTTCACGCCATCACCGGAGATCTCGGGACCGAGAGCGTCATCGGACCAGGAAGCACCAACATCGTTGTCGGAAACGCAGGACCAGGTCTTGTAGCAGTACCTCCTCGGTGAGTAGCATCCAAAATGAGTTCAGGAATGTCTAGGGTCTAATTGCATTCTAGCTCTTTTTCAGCCTTGATTAACATTGGGTGAGTACTTCTAATCGCGATCTTTTTTTTTTCAGTACGGTTCACAGTTAAGGTTTCTTGTGCGCTCCTGGTTATGTTAGGCTTGGTGACACAGCTGTGACAAGCTGTAGTGGATGAGCATCAAGCGTGTGTTTTTCAAGATGAGTTGGGAGGTGATGATCCAAGGGGCGTTTGTGCATGTGGTTCAGAATGGCTGTGCTGCATCCTTTATTTTTCACCCTTAAGCGTCTACTCAGTAACATGCTTAGTGACGCTGGGTGGTTGTATTCAGTGACCCAGACTGTTTCTCTGCTTTTGTAATAGGACATTTTTACCAGCGCTCTAGCCTTTGTTGGCCACAGTCAGGTTGTGTTGGACTTGGCTGGAGAACTTGACTTCTTCTCATGCAGCCCTCTTGGTGATAATTTTGGCGGACTCTGTATCCTGCTGAGCATATAACAAGCCTGAATAATTTGTGACCCACGCAGCCTCCTAGTTATGTATGGCAGCCTACCAAGGACTCAAAGAATTCCAGATGATGGGAATTTGAGTACCTGCTGGGCAATAATACAGGGCTGCAGCATACATTCAGCTTGTTGGAGGTTTTGGAATCATACATACAGGTTTCCTGGCTTTAGCTTGGTTACAACTATCTTCTTATTTAATGTCATTTTTATTAAATTAAGAAGTAGTTCCCAAATCTCATCCATGTACTGGCTCTCCCCACCAACTTGCAAAGAAAGGAAACAAGTAATTTAATGACAAAAGAGAGCAGTGAATATTAAGGCGCATGTACGACTTTGCTTTACTGGTTCATATACCTCACAGGTACCTAAAGCTGGAAATGCTGTAACTGCTATGTGCTCTTATGCAGATAGCAAATGAAGGGAGTTCTGTTGATGGTTTGAAGCAGTCCGTCATCTTTCTTTATCCTGTTTTTCAATTACACTTGCTAATATCTTAAACCTGAGGTTAATCACTGTAAGTCTCCCCTTTTCCTCTAGATTCCTGTTCTTGGAATTTTTCCCATAAGTATGACTGCAGTGTTAAGGATATGGAGTTTGCTTGGTGTGACCTGAACAGTTCTATTTTGTTAATTCTCTTTAACATGCTTAAGGATCTTAAGATTACCTCAGCTTGTCTCTGTTCCAACCACTTTCTCTTAGACCATGTGCCTAGTTGTTCTTCAGTGGAAGGGGATGGAAGGTGAAACAAGGGAGTGCAGACTTGGAGCCTGTAACGTCTTCCTGCAGCTCAGTCTAAACAAGCTATAACTTTTTGCAATTGAAAGGTTATAATAAAATGGTTTTTGGGATAATCCTTTATAATAGTGAAACTCTTCAGAATTGCTTGGCTGTTTCTCCCCACTCCTTCGGTAGAACCCAGTAACAATGAAGGACTCGTTTTCCATGTTTTCTTCTTCAAGAGAGTCAGAAGCTTTCCTGAGAACTGGGCGGTATGGGGCTGATCTCTATAACCTAGTTGGCTTTTGGTCCTTTATAGAACGGTCATCAGCAACATTTTAAAATGTTTGATTCCCACATTGGACATGGCTACTGTCTTTAGACTTCTTCTAAGCTTGATTTCTACTCAGAATTGAAAGCAAACAAGGGATTAGACCAGGCTTGTAAGATATAGAGCAACCAGATTTGTAGTGGTTTCCATCTGATCGGGCTGGAATTGGAGGGTCCCTGCAAAACTGAACAGCCACTGGGATAGGAGGGGGCAACGTAGGCTTCTGCTGACATGCCCATTATCACGGTTGACGATGGAGAAGCTGCTCTCATTGAATCCTCCTTCCTCGGCGGCTTGCTGTATCTTCCCTTAGTGATTAAGAGGTGGCAGTTGATGCCTTTGGGAGAATGCTCAGTCACTGGGCACATCCCAGCTGCTCCTCCCTGCTCAAGAACTACGGGCACCCTGCTGCGAGACTCCAGCACTTGCCTCCCATAGCTAATCAGTTTCTTTACATACCTGTAGCTGTTTTTTTAACCTTTGTTTTGAAGTCGGTTTGTGTCTTGACGTGTCCCTTGCAATATCCCTATCGTTATATATGCTGTGTGCCTTATGAAATGCTGGGATCTGGAAAATCCAACCACCGACGCATCGTCGTCTCTCCGCCTTTGAATGACAACTCAATCTGCCAATCGGAACTGCCCGCTGTGTGCGATTGGTCGGATGGCGTTTCGGGGGGCGGTGTGTACAGAGAAGCCAACAGAGCAATAAGCGCAGCAGGAGCGTGGAAGATGACAAGGAAGGTCACCTGGTGTGCAGGATCGGCGATTGGCTCCAAGAGCGATGTACAGCCACCTTTCGTAAAACTTTACCTCTCTACTTTCTATCCCCATGTTAGACGAGATCGCTCTCAGTGTACGGGAGGGGTCTCTAATGTTTATTGCTTATAAATGGACTGAACAGTAATTGCTTGACACAGAAAATAGACACTTGTGTATTAAAGAGTGTAGCAGTGAGAGCCTTTCTTGAGACTTGAATGCTGTGAAATTGCAGGACCTCATGTCCTCCCTGTCCCTAGCGCTCACATCTGCATTTGTTTTCTCTCCTAGATGAAATTGTTGGGAGCCTTGGCGAAGGGACTTTTGGCAAAGTGGTGGAGTGCGTGGACCACGCCAGGTAGGACCTCAGATTCCTGGTCTCAGTGAGTTGAAACACACAATGGCCCCATTTCCATATCATGCTTAAGCCAGTCAGATCTCTCTCATGATGATTCTGAATGGACACAGTCTCACCAACTGGCATCAAAGTTGCCCTTATTTCTTCAGGAACTGGACAGAATCACATTCATCATTGCATTAGATAAGGGGTGGCGAGGCTTCATAACATCATCAGCTACTTCCCCATTGGGTTTCAAAGGGAAAGGGGGAAGAAAGAAAGAAAATTGGCAATGCTGCAAGCAAACGTAGCATTTCCAAGTGAATTTGACAACCCCCCCTGCTGTTGGCATCCTTCCACCAAAACCCACCATACAATGTCTGTCTTATTGGCCCTCGCTTAGCATCACTTCCCTCCCTCCTTTCCCTACAGGACAGCAGAGAGAGTGCTAAAACACTTGCCTTCACAACTTTCCCCCTGATTGTCAGGTCAGCCAACCCAAAATGTTCCAGGAGAACAAAAACACTCTTGCGCTCCTTGCCGGCCTTTAGTGAAGAAGGAAAGCCACGGTGAAGGAGACAGCCTCAAGACACCCCTCAGGGGAGACAGGAAGTGAGAAAGGGTGAAAGAAAGCATGCAAGCAATTGGGAGCATGCTCCCGGTAATCAGGATCCACAACCAGGAGCAAGGCAGCAGAAAGCAGACCTTTTCCCCAGCATGCAAGCAGGGCTGTCCCCAAGCAGTGCTGTTTGGGATATGGTTGATTAGGAGTACATGGGGTGCTAGGAGATGCCTTGTGCCTTGGTTTACTTCTGCGACCAGTCACTGTTAGGAAGATTGGGTACAGCAGCTGCCAGGACTCTGGTAGTCATATCGGTAACGGGGAGCCTGTTTTTCTAGCTGCTCTACAACTTCAACGCTTTTTCTCGGAGGCGTGACCCAGCAGGCTTGGCTTGTGTCCTTTGAATGACCTGGTTGACAGAGTCTGACCCCCAAATCAACCCAGAGCTGCTGCTTCCTAACCCCACAGCTGGTTCATATTGGTATTTACATGACACACTGAGCCCATCCATGAGCAAGTAAAGTGCATGGGATGAACACAGCTAAGATGTTTCTGATAATGGTGTTAAACTGGAAAAAGATCATAGACATTGGCTCTAGAAGGTTCTAGAGATACGTGTGTGTGGAAAATGGTAAATAGAGAATGTCTTCCACAGTGTTTTCCAACTATAGTTCCCAGGCATTTGGGAAATACCAAACTGAGGAAAGCTGCTGTATCAAATAAAAATTGGAGAGAGGCAAAATAATGACTGGGTAAGAATAGTATATTGCAGAGGCTTTCTATCCCTGGTTGGTTGGTTGCTTTTAAAGAAATAACAGATTCATAAAATGTATGCAAAAGTTGTCATGATTAAAACAGTCCAATAGATGGACCAAAAGAGCACAGCATATAAAACCCAAGTAAATCTGAGCCAAGCATGAAATAAAAGCAGAATCTGAAAGGGCCAGAGGAAAGCAAAAGAGTCTCTTGTCTTTCAGCTGATCGGTGACCTGCGGAAAAAGGATTGCTGTTCTTAAACAATCTAGGGGTTGGATGAGAAGGAACGAGTTTAGACTGAATCCTAACAGGACAGAGTGGGTGTGGATCTGAAGACCTTCTCTATCCAGCAGTGTTCTGTTTATAGCTCTGGATGGGGTCATGCTCCCCGTATGGGGCTGGTTTGCAGTCTGGCGATTCTCCTAAGTTTATAGTTCTTGCTTGAACAGCAGATGGAGGCTGTGGGCAGGAGAGTGTTTACACAATAACATCTTGTGTAGCTGTTGCATCCTTTCTTGAATCAGGAGGCACTATGCATGATCTCTCATGTCCTTGTCCCCTCACGGTTGGACTATTGCAACTTGCCCTACACGGAGCTGCCCTCAAAATCCACGTAGATTGGTATAGCATGCAACTACGGGTGCATCTAAATTCACCCCATGACACTTACATTGTTGGCATTGCATTGGCTGCCAGTCAGCTTCTGTGGGCAAAACAAGATGTTGGTTGTTACCTTTAAGCCCCTACATAGCTCAGGGCTTGAGTGTCTTCAAGACCCCCTTCTCCAAAGTGAACCTGCCTGTCTATGGAGAGAGGACTTGCTGAGGGTCTCAACCTTGAGGGAATTCTAACTGCAGGGACCTACTTCACCAGCTTCTCAGCGGTGGCCCCTCAGTGCAGCAGCTGGCCTTCATACATCTGGATTGATACCACCCTGAATTTCCACAGGGTTGATAAAACATGGCATTTGGGGGACATTAATATGACGTGCCCCTGGCAGATGGTCCTGCTACTCCTTATTTGAATACAAGTAAATAAATACTGAAATAATGAAATAATCCAGTTACCTATTCCATTTGTGAGTGCTTTGTCATAAGGAAACAGCATCATTAAGTAGCATGAAGTGTCTCTGGGCTTCAAAAGGATATGAAGAGGGCCTTCTGGCAGTGAGCTAAACAAATAGTTAAAGCACAATTCCTTTGTCAGAGCTTTATGATTTAATAATTACGATACTTGATTGTTTACTTTTTGTTCTATCACCTTTGGGCACTTGTGTCCGTGGAAGCTTGAATTGAATGAAAGGAAAGAGGAATTTGTTTCTCTTGTTTTGGGTTTTTAATCAAATAACCGAAGCACTGAATTTAATTGCAGCTACTTCCTTATCAGAAATTTCTGCTGTTATTATCTAATCATCCACCTTTCTCTTCTCTTTCTCCACCTGCTCCATAGAGGCAAATCTCTGGTAGCTTTGAAAATTATTCGAAATGTGGGCAAATATCGTGAAGCAGCCAGACTAGAAATTAATGTCTTAAAGAAAATTAAAGAAAAAGACAAGGAAAATAAACAGTAAGTATTGCCACTCCAGTTTATATTGCATGTTCTTTTCCAAAGGAGGATGCTGGCACAAACTCCAGGAAAAATGGAGAGGAAAAAAAAACATGAAATGAGGCAGTTCTCTTACCATGCAGTGAAAGGGAAGGATCAGCGCGGTCCCCTCCTTGAATAGCTGAAAATTAAAATCAAGTAGTACTTATTCTATCAATTCCTTTGATTTTAGCTGTTGAGGAAGTAGACACTTTTACATGCTTATGCAGAAATATCTCTTGTACCCTTTTATTCTGATGCAATAAATCCCCCCCATCCACCTACCCACTCATAGAAGCTACATTTAAGTTGATTTTACTTCTCCCCAAATTTCCGACTAACATTAACATTTGGGTCCCGTTTGATGGAGTGAAGGGTGGGGATGAATTCTTAAAGGCAACCCCATTAGAACAAGTTGAGGTGGTAATTAAGTATTGGGAAGAGCTGGGCGGTACTGCTTCTTTGGCAGCCAAATTTCCACTCCCCCTCTGTTCTTTTCCTCCTTGGGTCCAGCTTGTGTGTCTTGATGTCAGATTGGTTCAACTTCCATGGCCACATGTGCATTGCTTTTGAGCTCCTGGGCAAGAACACCTTTGAATTTTTGAAAGAGAATAACTTCCAGCCCTACCCCCTTCCACAGATAAGGCACATGGCCTACCAGCTCTGCCATGCCTTGAAATGTAAGTGCTACCTGTGTTACCTGTGGTTAAGGAAAAGAAAAAAGAAAGGTCTTGGTCTTCTCTATGCTGGGGAGGAGTGGGGTTTGGGTTATTCTCCACCTGTTTAGGATCCTGATCAATCCTGCATATCCAGGATCCATAATGGCCAATGGAACAAAAGTCACCCCAAGGTTTTCATGGGCGATTTTCTACCTGGACATGATGGCATAAAATCGAATAGGCACACTGTGAAACCAGATGGGGAGGGGAAGGAAAACAAACTCAGTCTCATAAAAGTTCATCATTTTAGGACAATGACTACCCTTTAAAGTATGATTTTCTTTCAGAACACCTAAATACTTCTCAGCATCTTTAAAAATTGTCTGCAGGGTAGCTATTTCTAAATAGAGACTCCAGTAGTTAAGCTCACATGAGACTTCAGCTCTGGGCTAAAGTCTGTAACTACAAAGCCGGGCTTACTGAAATGCCTCCTCCCTTTTCTTTTGCAGTTCTGCATGACAACCAGCTGACTCACACAGATCTCAAACCTGAAAACATCTTGTTTGTAAACTCAGAATTTGATACCTTGTACAATGAGAAAAAGGTGGGTTTCATTTAAATATGACGGTCAGCCTATTGCTTTTACAAGAAAATGAGGAATATCAGTTGTGACTGCAGTTGGTTTATTATGAAACTAATATTCAATATGGCAACTTTCCCAGATTTCAGAAGCTTTGAAGGCTATGTAAAATTGCCAGCCCTCCCCCTTTATCTCTGATTCTTACTGCGTAGGAGTTTTTTTCCTTCCTGACATTCAGACATTGAACCACTTAACATCTAGCATTAGCTTTGGGGACTTGTGTCATCCAGGCAGTAGATGGCCATTTTCCACCACATCAGAGAAGAGTAGCTATTTATAGAACATTCTTGAGAATATCACTTTTGAGAAGGCAACTGAATGGACCGGTGGTCTCTCTTCTGTCTTACAGAACTGTGAGGAGAAATCTATCAGGAACACGTGCATCCGGGTAGCAGATTTTGGGAGTGCCACTTTTGACCATGAGCATCACACCACTATTGTGGCAACTCGGCACTACCGCCCACCAGAGGTGATCTTGGGTGAGTTGACACCTTCCTTTTGATTTTCACATTAAGCAAATTTGCTAAATAATTAATTTACAAAAGCAGGGAGCAAAGCACCTGAAATAAAAAGAACTGGAGCAATTGGGCAGAGAGAGTGCGATAACTTTTTAGACTTCACTTGTGATCACCTGTTTATGGAAGTTGCTATCCATTCACTAACTAAGGCTCGGATGAAAAGGTGCTATGAAAAACACAAGTGCTGAATCTGTATGTTCTTTTGCAGAGCTGGGCTGGGCACAGCCTTGTGATGTCTGGAGCATTGGTTGTATCCTCTTTGAATATTACCGGGGATTCACACTTTTTCAGGTATATGAATTTCAGTGTCTCTGGATACATTCAGTTTGAGTATTTTTTTCTTCTATGTTAAAGAGCAAGTACTTTGACACATATTTAATGGTGTTTCATAAACTACAGGTAGTCCTTGCTTAACAACAGTAATTGGGACTGGAAACTCCATCGCTAAGCAACGTGGTTGTAAAGTGCAATGTCACATGACTGCATCGCTTACTGACAGCAGTCCCGGTTGCTATTGTTAAGCGAACTCCTGTGGGTTATTAAGCAATGACCACAACTTCTGACTTCCTGCCAGCTTCCCTATTGACTTTGCTTGTGGGAAACTGGCTGGGAAGATCGTAAATTGCAATCATGTGACCGCAGGATGCTGCGACGTTGTAATTGCGTGCTAGTTGCCAAGCACCCAGATCGCAATCATGCGACACTCCGATGACAACTACGAGGACCGGTTGTAAGTAGCCCTCATTTAGTGCCATCATAACTTTGAACAGTTGCTGAATGAGTGGTCATTAAGTGAGGACTATCTGTAATTATCCTTGCCTATCAATTGCTAGGATGCATTTATTGTGTCCATTATGTTTTGGTGTCATATGGCTGACTTTGGCAGTATGCAACCTGTGTTTTACTTTGGAGATGAACTTGTCTTTTCACCTACTTTCTTGCAGCAAATGAGAAAAGAAAAATATGCTGAGTAGAAATGACTATTTTGTTTCACTTCACAGACTCATGAGAATAGAGAACATCTAGTAATGATGGAGAAAATCCTTGGCCTGATCCCACAGCACATGATCCGCAAAACTCGGTAGGAGTGCTTGATTCTGAGTAAGTTTGGTCTTTTCAGGAGCAGGAAGTAGGCAGTCGTCATCTTGGGCAGGTAGATCAGCCAAAGATGATTTGTTGGCAACATCAGATGTTTGTCAAGGTTTTCTGGAAAAACAGCACACCTAGGAAGAAGCACCAAACCTGCAGATGATAGACCTGTTTGCACAGTGTAGTCTATGTTGTAGAACAATTTCAGCTGTGGTCTTATTTAAGTACTTGGGAAAAAATGAATTTTGTGCATGCTTTCGAGAGGTAGCCAATCTTGTTTGTCTCCTCCCTTAAAGGTAGTTGTGTGTGTTTCTTTTTCCTTGTTTGCAATCAGGAAGCAGAAATATTTTCACAAAGGAAATTTAGTATGGGATGAGAACACTTCTGATGGAAGATACGTGCAAGAGAACTGCAAACCCCTACAGGTGAGAGCCACGGTCTGCAGTTGAAAAGAAAAAAAAAGCTTTTAAGAAAACAATTTTCTTAATTCGTCAAAAAAAGTAAAAACAATGGACTGTTACCTGAATTCATTTCATTATGCCTCTGGAACAGGAAAGCCAGCAGAAATGTTGGTTTACTTTTCTGCAACCATTAAGGATTTCGAAGTAGCCTTACCTACATCTCTCTTTTTTTACCTGAACCTTATGGTAATATTAGACTGGCAGATAATGGGATCCATTGGCTGGGAATACCTTGTAAATTAAAAAGTGGAGATTAAGTCCACATGCCCTAAAATGAAAGTGGTAACTGAACATCTTGCTACTTATGCCCAAGCCAGAAGATAGGCTTGCATAAATTGTACCTATTACTCAACTGCACGATTCCAATAGGCAAGATTCTGACCTGCTGCTTTAAAGATTCTTTCACTGAAAACTTCCTATCTTGCCTGCTGTTGCTACTGTAACATTTTTAAAGTGGGATTATTCCCTACATATTACTATTCCCTTTGTATGACGTGAAAAAATAAATTACAACATTTCAAGGGGCTGCAAGTTACACAGCTGCCCCTTAAAAAGAGGCACTAATTTATACATCCTGATGCTTTTTCTCTACCCAGACATACATGCTCCACGATTCCTCTGAGCATCTGCAATTGTTTAATCTGATGAGGCAAATGTTAGAGTTTGATCCTGCGGAGCGGATCACGTTCGCTGAGGCCCTGCACCATCCATTCTTCAATGGCTTATCTCCAGAGGAAAGGCGGCTGACTTGCCGAGATTCAAGCCGTGATTTAAGCAGATGACGGCAGGGGAGGTCGCAGCAGGATATGTAAATACTCCAAGATTGGTCTGACCTCTGTGGGGGACGACTCCAAGAATCCCCGTGTAGCACCATGGACCGCAGTGTTGGTGCATCTCAGATTGGACACCGGACGTGAGAGGGGAGTGGGACTGCAGTCCAGAAGCACAGATTTGTCTCATATTTATATGTTGTAAAGTTCAAATAAAGTGTTTCATATTGTTTGATAATTTACTTGTATGACTGTGTCTAGCTATTTTGACTTCCTATGAATGAACTTTTACGTTTAACAATAAAATTGTGGTTTTATATCTTACCACAAATCTGTTCTGGGAATTTACAATGTAGTTTCTTCCCTTACTGGCTGTGTATTAACTCCCTTTTTTTCTTTGTAAAGAACAACATCAAGTATGGGAATAGGAACTTGTGCTTTGGAGTATTTGGTCACTCCATGTTTTGTGGCTAATTCGGTATTAAATTGTGAAAAGATGACCTTGAAGAAGCATACTTTGTAGACCAAAGCTAAAGTACAGCTTAACCACCTGAATGACCTAAGCCAATATTCACTGTTAACTTGCAAAGATCAACTAAAAATAACTGTTTCGGAGAAAGAGAGTATGCACCAAGTCAGGCCCCATAGGCCAATCACATTTTGTTTTTTTTCACAGAGAAAATGTTCTGTACTTAGGAATGCTCAAAGGTTCTGCATCAAACAAGGGAGTATTTAAAAGAAAATGGCAACCAATCCAAACATTTAATGTAATTTATATAATAAATTGTCTCTGGGGCCTGACTTACCCTATATATTTATATTTACATATACTATACACCTGAAGACGATGAGCAGCTTTAAATGGAATATCTGATAAAAGGGGTGATTTGAGTGCCATTCTGTAGCATGATAAGTCCTGAATTGAAATGAGCTACAGGAAAATGCTAATGTGATTGTCTATTACGTCATTATTGCACCATTTGCTCTGACAGGCCCACTTCATCATTCCTAGGGAAGATTTATGCAAAAGATCTGCTTTTCAGCGATTTACACAACTCTAAGCCAGCCCAGTATCTTGTATCAATTTGACCCAAGCTTGCGGTTTGATCCTGAGGATACCCAATTTCCACTGAATTGGAGGTTACATGCATGACCCTACGGTAAACAAAATAGGAATCTGTGCGTGTGGTACTCTGCCCCAGTCTCCAATATTAATTTTTTTAAATTTATTTTAAGCCTACATTAACCAACTGGTAGCTATGCTTATATATGTACTGATTTCTGTGGCTTCAATCTGGTCGACAGCTGTGGGAAAAAAGACCAACCCCAACTTCAGAAGCAGGCGTGCTTTCTTGCTTTAAGAAGCGAGTGGAACGAACATGACTTGGCAACCAAGCTGCTTTTCTGCAGTTTAATCATTGTGATTAATGAGAGTTCTGCGTGGCATCTTTGGAGACCAGGCTGAGCGTAGTGGATTTCTTGAAGCCAGCAAGTCTTCAACTCCCCACTTCATAATGCGTTGAGCCCCTGAAACCTAGACAGTGCCAAGGTATTGTAGTAACAAGCGCCAATAGCAAGAACTGGGTCCCCAGAGACCAACATAAGACAGTCCCCCACAAAAATGGGGAAGCAGAGGAGGGCCAAGCATCAATGTAATAGCGCCTACAGAAACAAGCGGCCCACAGGCTTTTCAGTGCTTGGCCACGTTTGTTCTAAGCCAGTTGCTTCCTAATGATGTTCTGTACAACCCAACAACATCACATCCATTCTATTGCTCCATGCAAGCACCGCTACGTGCTTATTCTAAAGGGAAGGAGAGCATCATGCCAAAGCAAGCACTTGAGTCTTCGCAGGCCTCGGTATCCAATGGGAACGGCATGGGCCCAACAGATCTCCTAGTTCTTTCTGTCTCATGCACACAAATGCAGTCACAAAAAGAAAAGAAAAGAAAGGAACAGCCATCAGCCATGTGATCTTCACAGTAAGATGGCAGGACGTGAGTTACGGTGGAAACCTAAATGTTGGCACTATCTCATCTGCTCCTCAATCACTCCAAGCCACTGATTACACCCAAACACCGTTCACTCAACGAGCAAAAAAGGAGGAAGCAAATGCTAGTTAGCAATGAGTTGGAAACAGAAATGCTAGTCCAGGAATGGGGCAAGCTGTCTTACAACAGCTACCCAAACACAGAAATCCAAGGACACGTGAGCTTGAGCTGTCCATTGAAAAAGAGCAAGGACAATCACTACACAAGAAGAACCCAGCCAAACTGTGATTGTTTCGCCATGATCATGGAAATTAAGGACAGTACCCAAGCAACCTTCCCCACTCTGGTCCTGAAAAAACAAAAGTTTAAAAGAAAATCACATTTGTCTGGTCCACAGCCAAACAAAGCAGGGGCTCCTGGCGTAACAGGACACACCTGCTCATCTTCCCACCACCAACAGTGAACTGGATGAAGACATGAGCTGCCTTACACTCCTTCAGACAATGGCACAGGAGCACTAATGGCTCAGAGGAATGTGAATCCTCATGATTCTCTTTAACACTGTACTGATGTTTCTTTGAGAAGAAGCCCAGCCCAGAAGTTAATTTCCTTAAGGCGTCCAAACGTCTGATATGGTTAGGATCCACTGGATAGTTGGAGGCTGTTCTTTCCTTGTGGTCTTCTCCTGGACCAAGAGGTCAGGCTTCCCCACTTTAGGTTGAGTGCAGAGGGATGACAAATTTGCAGCCAAAAGGGGAGTGGTAATTTATGCCCACCTCCTGGAAAACTTTCTGTGGAATGCCGATGTCACACAGATATAGCCGGCCAGCCCTCTCGCTCAGTGGCAACGGCAGCCCCAGGGCCAGAGACCACTTGGCATCAATTCCTTGTTCCATTTCATTCACGGGAGGGTCTAAGCTGAGGACAGGGGCCCTGTTCTGATTGGCCCAGTCGACTGCAGCTTTGTACCAAGGCTGATCCCTCAGGAAAGCATTTTCATGGCAATCCAAGCAGTTTATCACTAAGTCCACAGGTGTGTCTGGAAGATCTAAGGGGAGGAGGAAAAAGAAGAGGGCTTTATGTGTTTGCTGGTGTGGTGTCATGCTTAAGGTGGGAGATCCAGGTTCAAGTCAACCCCAGTCATGGATAGCTTTGGACCAGTTCTTCTTTCTCATAGCACTGCTGCGGAGATCAAAATGGAAACCCGCCGCGTACAGTGGAATACAAATAAAGAAAGCAATAACGTATAGAACATTTTGCAGAAGCCTCTCAAAAGGCCTAGCAGCCTCTAAGAAAAGCCCTTTCGATCCTTCAAGTCACTTCTGCCTGTATAACCCAGTTCACCTGTTCAGGCCATATTCCTGAGATGGAAAAACAAACCAGCATCCCACCGCTAGATGGAGCTGATAGATTCAAAATGTAACACGCAATCAAAACCAGCTAGTGATTTGCACATTTCCTGGAAGCTTCAATGGACACCCACTTCCCTTGCCTCTCTCAGCTGCCCTTCTGAAATTAGCAAAAAATATCCCAAGCCTACCATCCCCCCAAGGCATGTCAGATTACAATTTTCACCATCCCACCTTCTTCCGAAGTCTTTTCTTTTCTTAAAACACACATTTGATTTTTAGAGCCTTAAGACTCTTTCAAGACATCCAAATGTTGACCCCCCCCCCCCCGAGACATGTTTGTCAGGGTCAAGAGTGTACAAAGCATTAATTGCAGCGTGAGCCAACACTGAAATGAGCCATGACGACCTCAAACCAGACCTTTGGAGGATTCCCAAAGCGATCCACCTTTTGAACCACTTTATGGATCATTTTACAGAGTATTTGGAACAGCCGAGTCAGGCTTCCTAATTTCCAGTTTTTAGATGGTGGCAGAATCCAGGAGATGATCTGGAAAATTTTTAGTGGCAGGCGGCTTTTTAAAGTTTTATCTTGCCTTTCTGTTTATATTTTATTCTTGCCTTTACTGTGTTAATGATTTCTGGGCTTACTCATTAGCCATCTGAAGACTTTGGAAATAAGATGAGATATAAATTTAAAAAGCAGAGTGAATACTCTGTTCCATATTTGCAGTTACCTTTAATACTGGACACCTGCTGGCCTTGTGTCTTGCTGAAAAGTGTCAGTTCGTTGGTGATTGATTCCAGCATCTTGACAAAGTTGGGAAGGAAGAGAATGACATCTACCTCGTGATTGGAAAGATGCCGACCACAGCTGATTCCCTGGGCCCCTTTCACATGGGGGCCACACAACAAGGCAACAGTAGGTCGCTGATGAATGTTTTTAGGGTTCAGCCTGAAAGTTAAGAAGGATGAAGCATCACATTTAGTTTCATTAAGTGTGAATTTGCATGCTAAGGTATATTATAATCATTCAGGTCCAGGAAGGAGGCACAGAAGGGAAAACAGCCTGTTGCTTCTCCAGGAAAAAAAAACCCAAACTTTTTACCTGTTGGGTCCTCCAAGCAAACTCAGGGCCATCTGGCTGGAACACACTCCTGTCATTTCCAACCTCCGCTCAAGAGTCAAACCATGTTTCTCAGCCACGGAAAGCAGCTTTTTGTGCAGCTCATAAGAAACACTTGGAACAACCAACCCAGAGTCTAAAATGCAGAATGGGAAGAGAGTTATCAATAGACCCCCAAGGAAGCAAAGGGAGTATGGCTCTTCAGATTCATAACCTAAGTCACCATCCAAAGATCATGTTTCAGCAACAGGACTTGACCATTTTAAACCTGGTCATCCCATTCCAGAGCTGTTTGGGAACACAGACAATCAATTGCTGAATCATTCATATAAAGCTCAAGTAACTATCAGCGCTCCCAATTCTATATATCAGCATGTAAAGAAGCCTAAAAGAACCTTAAGCTGGTTTCAAAGCTGATGTACAGAATCTGCACCTTTGGGAAGAAGCAGGGATGTTGTGGTCCTCCAGATGTTGCTGAACTACAATTAGCAACATCTTCATTCATGCTAAAAAAAGGTTGCTACTGGGAGTTTGTTCAACAACTGGAGCCATACAAAAATCTCATCCCTTCCTTAGGGTTCAAGGATATTGCTACAGCTACCGAGAAGAAAAAATATTATCATTCGCAAGGCTCAGTATTTAGGGTCTCAATGCCAAACCTCAGTGAGACACCTACCCTTGTAATCACAAGATTTTTTTTTAATAGTGATAGAAACCTGCAAAGTTCAAACTGCTATGGAAATGGGGCACAAGGCACAGGATAACAATCAGGGTTTGGTCTTTCTTGAGAAGGTAAGAAGCTGCGGTTGTTCAGGAAACTGCTTTACAAGAGTTACCAATCTAGTGCTGCTTTAGTCCAGCGGGCAACAGCTCTTCATCACCTCAGGCACAGGAGACTTTTCAGCCACTTTGTTTTATCTATGGTCTGTCCCTAAACATCTGAAGCTGCTAAGATACAGAAATACCCAAGTCAAGCCAATGGCCCTCCTAATGAATTTTTATCTACTTACAGCAATGTTCCTCAACCTCAGCCACACTTTCGGAGGGGGGGGCGGTTACCCTCCCCCTACCACCATCCCCCCCCCCGGGCGGGGGGGTTGGTGGTGTGTGGATGGCACCAC